GCGTTGGACAAGGAAGAGATCTTCAAGCGCCTACAAGTGAGAGAAGCAGAACTCGAAGAGAAGCTCTCCGGCGCCATAGAAGACCAAGAGAGGCTGGAGGACCAACTTGACGACCTACTAGAAGCCAAGAAGAGGGCCGAGCACGACGTTGAAAAGTACCGGGCTCAACTGGAGCAAGCTGCACTACTTATCGCACGGCTAGAGCAGGAGAAGTCAGAGCTCTCAGAACGCACCGAAGAGCTGGAGCGCTCTATCGAAGAGATTTCGCAGAAGCAATCGGAGCGTAGCGAACAGGAGAGACTGCTCGAGGACGAGATCAAGATGTTGCAGAGCCAGCTCAGTCTCAAGGATCGCAAAGCACGGGACTTGGAGAGCAAACTCCTCCAGATCGACCAGGACCTCGAGGTCAAATTGCGGACAGCACAGAAAGATTTGCAATCGTCAAAGTCGAGAGAATCCCAACTGGCTCTCGAGAACCGCCAGGTCCAACAGCAACTTTCTGAACTATCCAAGACTTCGACCGACTACGAGGATCTTGTCCGCAAGAAAGAGAGCGAATTGTCCGTTCTTCGGGGAGACAACAAGAAGTTTGAGATGGAGCGTCGTACCTTTGAGGAGCAAAAGAAGGTTCTCGTCTCCGAGAAGGAGACCGCTGCATCCAAGCTTCGCGAAGTCCAGGCCGAGATCACAGCCATCAAATCACAACAGTCTCAGCTTGAGAGGGAAGCCGAGGATGCCAAGAAACTTCTCGAAACACGGCTTTCTGAAGATGCCCAGGCAGACGAGAATCGCCAAGTCTTGGAAGCTCAGATCAAGGACCTCAAGGACGAGCTCTTCAATATTCAAAAGGAGCTTAGCAGGGAGAGGCAGTCACGCGACGACGTCCTCCTACTGAGCGAGCACAAGTTCAACGCCTTACAAGAAGAGTACGATCATCTGAACGAATCGAAGATCATTATAGAGAAAGAGCTGTACGTTCAGCAAGATAACCTGCGTCGAACCAAGGAAGCCCGCGACACCGCCGAACGGGAACGCGACGAAGCGAGACAGGAGATCAGACGTCTCCGGGTCGCCAAGACTCAAGCCGAGGAAGCTCGCGTGCAGGCCGAGATTGAAGGCGAACGGGCTGCTTCTCGGGCTGCTCGAGAGAGAGAGGAGAGCCTTCGGAAAGATCTCGAGGCTGCTCAGGAAAGGTTGAAGTGGTTCGACAACGAGTGCGCCAATCTCAATCATCAAGTCGAGGATCTCAATAAGCTTATCCTTTCTTCTGGAGAGTTTGGTCTAAAGAACGATCAGGAGAAGGAGAGACTCGAGCGCGAGCTGGTCACTGTCAAGGGTCGCCTCAAAGCCTCGGAGAACGACAATCGTGCCCTTCTCAACAAGCTCCAGCAGAAGGGGCTGGAAATCGCCCGCTCAAGTTCAAGAGCCAGCGAAGCTTCAAGAAGTCAAGTGCTGGGTCTGCAACGTGAAAAGACCCGAGCCGATGAACAAAATGCTCAGCTGAACAAACAGCTTGGCGAAGCTCAATTCACCATCGCTGGCCTCGAGAAGAAGGCCGAGAAGTTGCAGCTCAACCTGGAGGATCTCAACCATGAAGTGGCCCGAGAAGCTAAGGCTTCGAGGAATGCCGAGAAGACGGCATCGACTGCTACTGCGCAACTTGCGGAGGCCAATCGCACCATCGAGTCTGAGCGCCAGCTCCGTACACAGGCTCAGGCCACTGTCCGAACTCTGCAAACTACCATGGAAAGTAGGGAGAAGGAATTGCAAGAGCTGAGGGCGCAGATGCTCAAGGTCCTCAAGACGGTCGATCCCGACGTTGTTGTCCCGCCTCAAGCAGACGGCACAAACGAGGGCGTGCTTAGCAAGAACTTCGATCTGGTTAGGAAAGTCGAGGATCTCCAGCAGAACCTTCGGGTCCAGACGGCTGCTAGAACAAATGCCGAGGCCCAGTTGGCGGAGCTGCGCTCTTCTCGCATGGAATCTCCTATGAGGCCCAAGCTGGAAGAGATCAGCCCTAACGAGGCCCCTTTCAATGGTTCGCCCACCTTTAGGCGATCCAAGATGCAGAATCGTCAGTACTCGAACAACTCGACGCCCACCCGCCGTTTCGAGCCAGAGAATATGGACTCAGCTCGCTCTGACAAGACTGCGGATATCCTGAGCTTCAACAACCGCATGGATCTCAAGGCCGAGGTTGAGGAGTTGCAGAACCAGCTTCAGATTGCTGAGATGCAAAATCGACACCTCCAAAGCCAGATCGAGCGCGGTTCCTCGCCCCCGGAGGAATTCGACGAGAACTCGTCTGTTCTTCGAGTGCAAAAGTTGGAGAAGGTCAACAGCCGCCTGCACGACATGCTGGACGACTCTGCAAGGAAGGTGTCGGCTCTGGAGCGGAGTGTGAGGACCGGCGAGTTGTCCCTGCGTGATATTCAGACCCGATCGCACGAAGAGATCCTGGACGCGCTCAACAGCCAAGAGGAGGCGCGTCGCTCACTTCTGCATAGCCACAGGGATGCCATCTCGGAACTTTCGGACGTCAAGAACCATTTCGAACGGATGCGCCACGACCGAGCTGCCCTTGAAGTCGAGCTTCGGGACACCACATCCGAACTCGAGGAAATGAGCCTGGCTCGCGAGCAAGAGGCTGCCAGCCGCAGTCAGCTCTTGCAGGACTTCTCTGATCTGCAGATTCAACTCGACAACCAGACTTCCAAACTCGCCGACGTTGGGTCCAGCTTGAACCTATACAAGAGTCGTGCAGATGAATATTTCAGTAAACTGGAGCAAGCCGAGATTGCCGTTTTGAAGGCCAACCGAGCGGAATTGTTTGCCAAGACGCAGGCTAAGGAGGCCGAGGAGACGTATGCCGAGGTCATGTCCGAAAGAGAAAAGATGGACGCCACTATTGAGGACCTTCAACGCCAGAACCAGAGGCTTGAAGAGAAGCTCGAGGACGTTTCGACCGATTTGGATGCCGCAAGTCAAGCTAAGAAGCGTCTTCAGCACGAGCTCGAGGACTACAGGAACCAGAGAGCCAACGATATCGAGGACAAGGAAACCAGCATGGAGCAAACACGCAAGAAGTACCAAGCCGAGTTCGCCACATTGACCAAGGAGCTCGATCTGGCCCGCGAGGAGAAACTCTTCAAGCAAGCCGAGATTGCTCGCTTGCGGGAGGAGCTTGATGAGCTCCGCTCTAAGTGGGACGACGAAGTTCTCAACAGCTCGACCTGGTCCAAGGAAAAGGCCCGGCTGGAGTCAACTCTGGCTGATGTCGTCTCATCACGCGATGAGGCGGTCAACGCCCACAGCGAGGCCCAAGGCAAGGTTGTGACTTTGCTTTCCCAGGTTCGGTCTCTCCGCGCCTCTGTGGACGAAGTCACTTCTGAGCGAGATCTTCTTGTCCGGGAGAAGCGCAGCATCGAGGCTCGCCTTGAGGAAGCCAAGGCTGGTCTGGAAGATCTCACCAACGGCGACAGCGCATCACTCCGCGACGCCGCCAACCTGGACAAGGAAATGTTGGAGTTGAAGTCCAGCCTGGCTCAGCATGAAGACATTGCTGCTGCTGCAGTGGAGAAGATGAGACGCGCCGAGGCACTGGCTGCGGAAATGCAAAAGGAGGCCATGGTTGAGCGCGAGGCCAGCACACAGCTCCAGAAGGTTAAGGCCACCCTGGAGAAGTCTTTGAACGAGATTCAGATCAAGTTGGTCGACCTTGAGACCAAGGGCTACTCAAGCGCTAGCCAAGATATCAAGTTTTTGCACAAGCGCATCCAAGAGGTAAGGATAGCCCACCATAAGACACTTCTCATAGTCACTAACAACATCTTTCAGCTTGAATCTCAGCTTGAGGAGCATGAGAATGAGAAGAACAAGTCTCAGCGATCGGTTCGAAATGTTGACCGGATCGTCAAGGACCTCCAAGGTCAGATCGACCGCAAGGACAAGCAGAACACACAGCTGCAAGACGATGTTGCCCGCATGCGTGACAAGGCGGAAAAGCTCCTGCAAACGATCGAGGAGCTTCAGTCGTCCGAGTCGGAGAACCAGCTTCAGGCACGCCGTGCTGAACGGGAACTCCGCGAGGAGAAGGAGAGGTCGATGCGCCTGGAGCGTGAGCTCGAAGGCATCAAGGCATTGAGATTCGAAAAGGGGGCGGCGTCCGCGATGGGAAGCGTCCGCGGTGCGTGGCGCACAGGGTTTAGTGTTGATGATGACACCGCCTCCATGATTTCTGTACCCAAGCGGAAGAGCAGCCTTAGTCGGGCACCGAGTCTCACCAAGGGGTTCTTGTAAAAGAAGCGGGGTGTCAAGGGTATGATGTCGATGTATGGGGAAAAGACGTTGTAATGTTTAAATGGGATTGACTAGCACGGGTCGTTTCGGCGTTCGAGCCACGGACCGTAAAGGTCTGGGGGAACGGAGCGTGCGCATGGTCGCGAAGGGCGTGTTATGGTGTTTTTCTCTTTCCCTGTTGTATACGTACAGCATTGGCGTGTCTAGCATCGGGTTTGCGCTTGGTTTATTGTTGGAGTGGTCAAACTTACATATTTTCAGTTGCCTTTATGAGACGAATAGATTCGGAAGTTCAGAAGAGGAGCGCATTACTAGCCATACATGCGTACCTAAGCATACGTGAATGAGAATTTTCCGTTATGCTCACCGCCAGATTTCTCGTGGATGTTGTTTGGTCTTGGTGGTTGTACTTGGGTGACCTTGGGTATGCGGGTAGCCGCGCGCGCTCTCGAGAGGAGGGGAAGTTTGGTGGTGGGAGCAAACAAAAGGGCGAGGAGCGGCTGTTCTCTCCCTCGAGTTTCTGTGACTTAGTCTTACTTGTTTTTCATTTTTGTTTTGAAGCACATTTGATCCCAAGCATCATCTGCCTCGTTGCTCAAGGTTTTGGGAGTCGGAAGTCAGATGACTTGAATCGAAGCGAACACCACCGACCTAACAAGACAACATCCCCATCGGGGTTGAAACACACTCTTCTTTTGGAGATGACGGACCTTCGACAGCGGGTACCAGTCGGGGGACTCAGCGATGTTGGAGGCGAGGTGATTTGTCTTGATGACGAGGGTGTTATCGAGGAAGGTGTTGATGTAGGTTTAGTTGGTGGGGGTAGTGGTGGGGGGTATCATTACTATGATGACGGGAGTGAAGATACCTCGGAGTCAGAGACGACTTCGGACGAGGAGGAGGATGATGTTTGTGGCGGGCGGGGAGGGTGTGGAGGGTGTTGGGAGGAAGATGAATGTTGCTTTGAGATGGTGGGGTGTTGTGCTGGTGGGTATGGGTTGCAGGCTGGAGGGGGAAGGGGGGGTTGTGGGATTGGATTTGGATGCGAGGTTGGTGGGAGGATGACACCAAGGGATTGTGGAGGCGAGAGGGGGAAGAAGTGTAAGGAGTGTGAGACGGGGAAGAAGTGCAAGACATGTGAGAAGAGGAGGAAGAAGAAGGGAAAAGGGTTCTGGAGTAAGCTTTATCCTGTGAAGAAGCTGGGGGAGTGGGGTGGTGATGTTGTAGGTGTTTCGAGGTGTCCTGGTGAGGTTGGTATTCCCTTCTCTGTGACCCTTTTATTTGGGTCTTGCCTTCTGAGGTCTTGTGGAGAGGTGAGGGCTGAGACTAAAGAAGAAAGACGTTTGTTGTTTGTGTTTGAATGTCGCTAATGATGTGGAACAGCAAGATCCAAAGAGATGGGGATTCAAGGTCGACGATAAATTACGCGGATCACGAGGATGCCTCTTAGGACCTACAAATGCGACGAGGAGGCATAACTGTACCAGCACTGGATCTTGCGGAGATTTAAGACGGCCGTATATAATGAGGGAGCCCCGAAGAGGGGGAAGGGGACAACGACATATACCGAGACACGGCCCGAGGAGTTATTGTCACCATAATTCTGGTAGTGGAGACCATGATCTGAGGCATAAAGAGGTCTTTAACCCTTCGCAGGGCGGATGGCTGTTATTCCCAGTTAAGAAGTACGAGGCTTCTCCTCCCCCTCCTCGGAGAAGCAGATCTCGCGATGAGGAGTGGAGAAGGCCACAGGACGGAGCAAGAAGTATATCTCGCGATGGAGGGAGGTACTTCCGTGAGAGGGTTCGACATGTGTATGTTCGGCGCGAGGGTGATGATGGGAGGTGGAGGGGTGAGAGGGGTAGGAGTAGGAGCAGGAGTTTGACGAGGAGCAGAAGTAGGACTGTGAGTAGGGATAGGAGTCGGAGTCGAAGCCGGAGTGTGAGGAGGGGGGTTAGCGGAGATAGGAGGGACGGGTATCTTATGCATGGCGGCCGTGGGGATGAAGGGGTACGGGAGTTCAGGGGCGGTGGCGGATATGACGACGGACGACGCGGTGATGAGCGTGGCATAGATCGTGGCGGCGGGTATCATCATGATCAACGGCGCGGCGATGATCGAGGAAGGGGTGATGTCGAACCTGGAAGTAGGAGACGGGCGAGGAGCTGGGAGAGGAGATCGGATGTTAGCGAGAGGGTTGGGGAGATGGATGATCGGTCGCAGGGGAGTTCGTATGCTTTGGGGGAGACGGCCGTTGCTAGGAGGGATGAGGTTGTGAAGGTGGTTCGGTTTCAGGGTCACCCACGGTTGTGATGAGGGTTTACACCAAGGAGCAAGTTTCACGGTGAAAAGCTCGCGGAAGGCCTGGTTCAAGTGACATTACGAGTTAAGAATATGATATCAATATTTCATTCAAATAACCTCCCATCTCCCATGGTCTCATTATATCCCATCATCAATCTTTTCATGAAATTAAGTTATTCCCCCTTCCGCTCCTGATTTTGATTTCCAGAAATCTCTTACCGCACCTGCGCCGGCACCTTTTCGTAGCTCTTCACCTGGTCGGGCATGCGATAGATGCACAACTCCCGACAGAACATGCCCCACTCGCCGCTGGTGCCTTCGCGGACGGCCTCCTGCATGTCGCGGCCGTAACGCTCCCGGTAGGCGCGCTTGATAGCCTCGAGGTGGTGACGGTCCCAGTGGAAGCGGACGAGGCGGGAGATGAGCAGCTCGCGGCGCAGGTCATCTTTGCGGCTTGCCGTAAGAGCGTGGTGGACTAGTAGGGCGTCGCGGACGGGTCTGTTGATGACGCCGTTGAGGACGTGGGCGAGGAGTTCTCCCTACGAAGACAAGCTGGGTTAGTTCTGAGTCTTAACTTTGTGTAACCATGGAAATTACTCACCACTAGGTTGCCGCTCTTCTTGAGCGCATCGCGGGCAAAGTTGGTACGGTACGTCCGCTCGTACAACTTGAGTACCTCGCGCAGATGTGAGTCGCTCCTCTGCACGACGATGCTAATCATGAGCGACTCGCCGCCCTTTTCCGACTTGACGGCCTTGCGCAGGTCCGAGACGTCGTCCTCAACCGAGTGATAGTCAATAGCCAGGCGGCGACCATAAGGATCATACTCCTCCATCCGGCGCTCCTCGAGCACCATGAGCACGGCCTTTTTGAACTTATCCTCCTTGAGCTCCGTCTTCATGCACTTTGTCAGGCTGTTGTCGTACTTTTTATCGCTGAAGCCGTCCTTGATGAGGCGGATCTCGTGGTTCGTGCGGCCCATGAGCGACTCGATGAGCAGCTCCCGGCGCGTCTTGTCGCCCTGGTACCAGAAATTGGCCCAGTACGCCTCGCTCTCCCACTGGCCGAGCGCCGTGGCGTAACAGGCCTTCATCAGGTTCGGGTCGGAGTCCTTGAGGCGGGAGCGGATGTGCTTGGCGACGTTGACGCCCTTGCGGTCGGCGCCCGTCTTGACGAGGGCCTTGTACTCCTTGCGGAGGTCCATGACCTGGTCATGGGTGAGGCCGGGGAGGATCTCAATCAAAGGCTCCGGGTCCGGGGTTTTCCTGTCGCTGCGTAGCGCCTTTGCGATTCTCGACGCATCGTCCTCAATGTCGTGGAACCGCGCACGGCGGCGTCGTCGGCCCTCATCGTCGGAGCCGATTGGCGAGAGGGGCTCCATGACCTGCAGGTCGTGTGATGAGGGGAGCAGCATGGGTGACGGCATGGGTGACATGTCCTGATAGGTACCGTGGTACGACTCCAGCAGCGGCGACCCCGGTGCGTTGGCTAGCGACATGCTCACGTTCATGGAGTGGTGGCCAGTGTTTACAGATAGGTTCGACATGCGGTGAGTAGGCGGCTGGGGCGACTTGTCCCGCCTGCGGCTGCCGGGTTCGACCGTCAAGACATTGGACGAGACGCGCGGGTCGTTGGCGTAGTACTGCGCGGCGCCGGCTGAGATCTGTGGCCCTGGACTCGGTGCGCGACCAGAGTATCGGGGCTCAGGGGCGAGGCCGCCTGGTCTAGAAGCATTGGGGTCGAAGCCGTATGCGAGGTTCTCCTCCAGAGCCTTCTTCTTTTCCTCCTTCTTCTTGGCCTTGTCGTCGGTCTTTGCGTATTCGTAGGGCTGCGGCTGAGCGTAAGCGTAGCCGCCGGGCGACACAGGGCGAGGGGGCTTCGCTGGGGGGTACAAGTCGCCCGCGTCAGGACGAGGCGGCTTTTGAGGCGCGTATTCGGCCTCGTTGCCGTACTTGCTGTTGCTGCGGCCGTGACTGCTGTACTTTGCGGGCAAGTACTTGAGCTTGTCGTCGTCGCGGGGCTCATCGTACTTTTCGCGCGAGTTGCGGTAGTAGTTGTCTTGCGGGGATGGGGGTGGACGGTAAGCAGGATTGCTGCCGCGCGGGTCGTCGTAGTCGTAGAGTGACCTGGTGCCTGGGAACATTGCGTCGCTGCCGTCCTCTGGGTAAGGGATAGCTCCTGACATGGCGCGGCTGGCGCCCGGCTCCGCGGTGACGACGTTTGCGCCTCCTCTCTCGCGTCCATATCTGCCACCATCGAGGTCGTCTTCCGGGTAAGCATAGCTGGGCTCGCGCGGGGGATCAACCATGGCGGGGACCGCGGGGCTCCGACTGCGCTCGCGACGGCCCGGCGAGCGCGAACGGGTGCGACGGCCTCGGTCGTCAACCTGGAGAGACATGGTAGTTGCTTGGAGACTTTGGACACTCGAACTGGGTTTTTCGCTGTTGAGTCTGAACTTGACTGCAAAAGTGCGAGCTGACGGGAATCGAGGTGGGGTTTTGGAGCTCGAAGTTGAGACAAAACGTGCGGGACAGGGAATGAGGGGCTCTCTCTGGCCCAAGTGTGTGTGGGACAGGGACCGTGGGCGTAGGGCGACGGGAGCTCCTCTTTTTTTTGCTCTTATATATCAGAGGGGAGAGAGAAGAGATGAGATGTCGCGTGCTCTCTTAGCTTCAATTGACCAGCGTGCGGCTGCCTTCAAGTACTTGTACAGATCTTGGAGCCTCGAGCATAGGGTTGGATACGAAACGAAAGACGAGGAGGCTGTGGATGCATGTAAAAGAAAGGAAAGGAGACAGATAGATGCACTAATGTAAGGGTAGGCATGGGAAAATGGGGTGAGTGAGCAACGAGCAAGCCACCCAAAAGGAGAAGAGTTGGGCTGAAGGATGTGAAACCCACCCAGTTGCATAGCGTCTCTTCCCCATCCTGACCAGAACGGCATCAGCATCAGCAGCAAGTCAGTTGGTTAGCAACAGCTGTTGCGGTACCATGCAGTAAGCTAATGGAGCTCGCATCGTCTATCCCCTGTTCTGACTCCTCGGTGGCTACCTAGCTTGGCGGGAAATGTGTCGTATGAGCTACAGGCGAGTAATGCTTCATGACTTTACCTGCAGCACTGGCCTGGCATCATGAGGTAGCCGTGTCTCTTGGATCTGCTGATCAAAACTTGTCCGTCTAGACCGTCAGGCGCTAATGGCTGTGTGGTTGCGCCGGTTGGTCCAATGGCCGCGATGGCCTCAAATCTAGAGGCCCCTCAAAGAGTGCCAACACCGCCTTTCTGTCGTACTGCGTCCTGCGTGCACCAAGACCCTCAGGACAGAGCCCCCGGAGGGCCAGGGGGCGGGCTGGGGTCAACCGTCAATGTGGGTATGAGAGGAAGGCTGTGAACGGCGGCGAGTCCGTGGCAACGGGTTCCTCCAGGGAAGCTAAGCTCTCCGACCCCGTGGGCGGCGGCGGCGGCGAAGAGGGGGGAACGGGTGCTTCTGCAAACTCGAGAGCAATTCCCAACGGGCCGTCTTGTGTTGTGATGACATGCTGCAGCGGAGCGGGGCCGGGATCCCCGCCATGTTGCCCTACTCGTCCTATCAACATGCTCCCGCTGCGGACGATGCAAGGGCCTTTGGGGGCTGAACGAGTGCGTGCTGCCGCTGCTGCACCAGTGACGATGCCACGCTGGGAATCTAGGTAGTCGATGGTCGACGGCCGACGATTTCGGGTCGGGACCTACACTAGATGGTGACACGGCGGGTGGGGTGAAAAGCCGAAGGATTCCGTCGACGAGAGCACAGGAGCTCCCAGATGCCTTAGGTAATCTTCCATGACAGACTGAGGTATCCCACTCTCGGCTGCTTATGTAAGGCATGGGGAACCGGAGACTTTCGGCCAAAGGCAGGGCCGCCGGTGGTCGTTGCTGCGCAATCGGGTTATCGGGATAAGCCGGGCTGCACGGGCCACAACCAAGCTCCACAGTGTCAGAGCTCCCCCAACGGAACGAACTCGGAGGTGATGGAACTCCTGTTAATTATTGAGCCGGCAAAAACGAGACCTTTTTTTTCTCCTTCCTCTCGTCCTTGGAGATCTTCTTTGGTTAATCTGGCAATAACTTCACGCACTCCTTTTCATCACCCATCGAGGTCATCAAAGCTTCAATTGGCTCCGTATAAGCTAGAAATTGCGACTTAGACCGCCGTTTCTACTCTCCAAGACCCTTTCTCCAACCACCAACAGGAAAAAAAAAAAAACCGCCCGCCATGCTTCGATCGGCACCAGCTCGTCGCGCCGCTTCCGGCCTGGCAAACACACGGCTTACCGTTATGCCGAGGACATGCGCAAAGAGCCTCTCCACATGCTCGACCCGATACACCTCCTCTTCCCCCGCAGCTCTTTACCCCGCGACGAACTCCAGATCAACAAACCTTACCAGCCCTTTCTCCCTCCAGAGAAGCATTCACACCACTGCTCCCAGAATGGCCGAAACCCGTACCGAGAGCGACGCCTTTGGCGAGATCCAGGTCCCCGCGGACAAGTACTGGGGTGCTCAGACTGAGCGTTCCCTCGAGAACTTCAAGATCAACCAGCCCCAGGACCGCATGCCGCCCCCGATCGTGAAGGCCTTTGGTATCCTCAAGGGCGCCGCCGCCACCGTCAACATGCGCTACGGCCTCGACGAGAAGGTTGGCAAGGCCATCCAGCAGGCCGCTGCTGAGGTCGCCGAGGGCAAGCTCCTCGACCACTTCCCCCTCGTCGTCTGGCAGACCGGCTCCGGCACCCAGTCCAACATGAACGCCAACGAGGTCATCTCTAACCGCGCCATCGAGATTCTCGGCGGTGTCAAGGGCAGCAAGAAGCCCGTCCACCCCAACGACCACGTCAACCGCTCCGCCTCTTCCAACGACACCTTCCCCACCGTCATGCACATCGCCGCCGTCCTCGAGATCGAGCAGGAGCTCCTCCCCTCCCTCAAGAGCCTCCGCGATGCGCTCCAGAAGAAGGTTGACGAGTTCGACGCCAAGCAGATTATCAAAATTGGCCGCACCCACTTGCAGGATGCTACTCCCCTGACCCTCGGCCAGGAGTTCTCCGGATACGTCGCCCAGCTTAGCCAGAGCATCAAGAGAGTCGAGTCCTCCCTTCCCGACCTGCGCCAGCTCGCTCAGGGTGGTACCGCTGTCGGCACCGGTATCAACACCTTCCAGGGCTTCGCTGAGGGCATCGCCGAGGAGGTCTCCAAGATGACCGGCACCAAGTTCGAGACCGCCCCCAACAAGTTCGAGGCCCTTGCCGCCCACGACGCCATCGTCCAGGCCCACGGCTCCCTCAACACCCTCGCCGCCTCCCTCTCCAAGATCGCCCAGGACATCCGCTACCTCGGCAGTGGTCCCCGCTGCGGTCTTGGTGAGCTCAACCTCCCCGAGAACGAGCCCGGCAGCTCCATCATGCCCGGCAAGGTCAACCCTACCCAGTGCGAGGCCCTCACCATGGTCTGCGCCCAGGTCATGGGTAACCACGTCGCCACCACCATCGGCGGTATGAACGGCCAGTTCGAGCTCAACGTCTACAAGCCCCTGGTCATCCGCAACCTTCTCCACAGCGTCCGCATCCTCTCCGACGGCATGCGCTCTTTTGAGAAGAACCTCGTCGTCGGCCTCCAGGCCAACGAGGAGAAGATTGCCAGCATCATGAAGGAGTCGTAAGTCACCAATATTATCTGCAAAATTATACGTCTTATTGCTAACACTGTCACAGCCTCATGCTGGTCACCACCCTCAACCCCAAGATCGGCTACGACATGGCCTCCAAGGTCGCCAAGAACGCCCACAAGAAGGGCCTCACCCTCAAGGAGTCCGCCCTCGAGCTCAACGCCCTCTCCGAGGAGGACTTTGACAAGCTCGTCCGCCCCGAGCTCATGATCGGCCCCAGCGCTTACAAGCAGTAGAAGCGGCGCACTGGAGATCGGTTGTGTTGAATGATGTTGCCGTTGTTGTTACGTGTTGATATAAAGTGGAGAGCTAACCCCGAAACCCACCAAAACCTCCCCCTCCAACGCCTTGTGTAAAACTACCTACCTTGCGTAACGATATCCTGTTACCTGTGAAAAAGGGAAACAATGCGGTCTTGAGCGATCCGTGTTTGTAGAATTGAAATCGTAAAACAAAAACATTTACAAAATCGCGTGGTTTGCACAGAATGAGAGGGTGATGCTGTCTGTATTGATTACCCCGCCATTTCACATGTGATGTAATCCCGTACCCCGCATATCGCGCACCGCGCACCGCATGGCTGTCAAGATGCCGTCTCACCGTTCGGATGGGAGGATGCATCTCGCATGCGTGAGCTTGAGCGCGGCACCATCTCAAAAAATTCCAGACGACGTGCGTCGTTTGTGGAAGTTCGGGTGTGTAAGGTAGAGTACAGAGTACCTATGCATGGTCACAAGCGGTCATGGCCCGCCGCGAAAAGGAACCAGCACTTAAGGCTACTTCATTTTCCATCAATTCCCTAGAGCTACAAGCGATTGTGACTCGCTTTCGAGTAGAGTGTGTATATATATCTACCAATAGCTCGAGTCACCAAATAAGACGACAGAATGTTCCGTGAATGAGACCACTGAGATTTGAGTTTAGTGACGCTGTTCGAGTTGCCCAATCGAGACTTTTACTGTCCCGGCCCAGCAACGTCATTGACGCAGCGGACCTTCCGAGTTGGTAAACGCCACGCATTCTCTATTGCCCATTCAACTGAGGCCTCCTTCCAATTCGACAATGCCATATCTCGCTGAATTTTCGAGTGGTCTGCGACTTCTTTGGCCCCAGGTCCGGGACGAGGGTTGCTGACATTAGGGCCGTAAAGAGTACCACAAATCAATTGCTCCCCCCGAAGGTGCTCAGGAAGGTATCCAACTCTGAGAAGGTCCTCTTCCGTCCAATAATTATGTTTCAGCAGATACTCAGACACCCACGCTCGCTCAAACAGGATCATCAGAAGTGCAACCTCGTGCTCATGGTCGGAAAGTCTTGCCATTCCAGGCCTCGGGGGGTTGGAAGTGAGAGCCGTCGGATCTACCATGGCTTCTTCGAACAGAAATTTAATCATCGATCTCGATCCGCCAACCACGGCAGCTCCAAGAGTGCTACCAAAGTCTCCTCCCAGCGAGCTATTCACATCATACCCGAGCTCTTCAATGAGAATCCGGCTGCACTTGACGGCACCTCGATAAGCCGCTATATGCAGGGCGTTTGTGCCATTCGCACTCAATAGTGATAAGTCAGCTCCATGCTTCAAAAGCAATCTGAAAATCACATCGGCGTCTCTAATGAACGCAGATTCGATGCAGTGGCGGGGCCCGTCGTGTTCCACAAGCAAATAGAATACCTCATCTGCGCCGTAGTACATGTGGTCCCGGCCGTGAAGACACATGACGTTTGGGTCCGCTTTCGAGTCCAACAATGTTGAAACGATGTCAAGCTCACCATGAGCAGCATAGCATAGAGGTGTATGGCCGCTCGTGGAGTTCGTATCTGCTCCTCTCGAAAGAAGCGTCTTGACGACGGAGATTTGTCGACGTTGGCACGCGTAATCTAATGCAGAAAAGCCCGAAGTATGATTCCGCTTGTTGACGTCCACTCCATGGTCAATGAGAAACGAACAAAGCTCAGCGTGTCCATGCGTAGCAGCATGTGATAGTAAGGAGTCTCCTATTGTGTCTGTTTGGTTGAGATCAGCTCCTAGTCGGTGCAGCTGCTCTAGTAAGTCGATAGAGCCTAAAACGCAGACTGCAAAGATAGGATTCAGCCTTGGGTCCAGGTCTGTGTGGCCAACCATCAACAATGATCTCCGGCTAATCCCTTCCTCATCCACTAAAGTTTGGTACTGAAAGCAAGAGGGATCGGGAGCATTGCCAAGGCCCAGACAATAGCCCAAATAAGCCGAGAGTTCTTTTGTTTTTGGGCGTGCTTTGTATGTAGACCGGACATACTCTAGCCAATATCGATGAGCATATGCGGTAAACGTGTACCTGGCCCAGTCCTTTACTTGATGTTCTTGACAAGCGTAAAGCAATTCCATAGCCTCGTATTTGAGAGCCGCGTGTAGAAGCAGCAATGGTGCAAGGTCTTGAGCGGCTTCGGGGTTCCAGGCATTAAGCTTATTGTCGAAGAATTCCCCAATTGAGGCATGTGGAAAGTTCCAACACCAATTCCCTGTGGAATGTTCTCCAAAGGTGATTAGATGACGGCATATTTCGTCTAAGTCGTGCCCTGATAGCCTTTCATTATCAACATGAAGCGTGCCACGGGGCTCACAGCCACATAAAGACAGGCGCACTGCATGAAGTAGAGGCCATGTCTTCAGCGGTGGCTGGGCCCATTTGACCCACATTGCGACTCTCATGAGGACCTCCATGGCATACTCGCTTTGCCGAGAACAGATCTCTTCGTAAGAGGCTGACAGACCCTCTGGAAGTTGCATGAGTCGCTCCTTCACATCGGTCTCTGTATTCAATGGCTCCAACTGATCCCATTGCAGCTGAACCCATTTGAACCTGGTCAAACAGTCAATTTCAATGACTGACTCTATCTGATGTTTGCAGCCGTATTTCGTAGAAGAGTGACTTACATTCCACCATGTTTCTCAAGCAAAGTCTTCCTCACTAAAGATTGCACAGTCGGCTTTTTCTAAACGGGTCGAAGACTGACCTGGCTGAGCCTGGAGTCAATGTATTTCTCAATATCCTTTTCGTTGTCTGCGGTACTGATTTGGATGCAAGTCGATGTGCCCATCAATTCAAGTATATCCGCTTCTGGGCGGCTGGATATGAAGATCTTAACGGGCCTGTCGGATTCTTTGACTAAATCTCGGAAGAAGCGCACAATCTGTGATCTTGAGTTCTCCTCACACTCGTCCAATCCGTCCAGTACCAGGATAGAGCGCGGATACGCGTTGACCATGTCGCGTACAAACCGTTTGCATTCAGAGATTTCCAGGCTACGTCGAGATGCGGCAACGTCCCTGCAGAACATCAGAAGCTTTGTATGCCATCTGTTGCGGTGACGTGATACCGTCGAGAGCTGCACCATGTAGCTGCTGAGGATTGATTTAACGTCTCTGCGGCCGGCCACTCCGCGATCACAGTAAAAGTGAGCAAAGCCCTCATCATTCTCTGGCGACCCTAAAGCATCTCCAGGACGAGACCGGTAGCGATCAACCACCTTAGAAGTGAGAAAGGTCTTGCCAGCTCCCACTGTTTTCCGACTCATCAGCAGTTGTTTACGATGAAGGCGCATGAATGGCTTACCTTGACCGTTGAGCCATAGGATTGATGAGAAGCTGGGCTCTTCCCACGCAAGAAATCTCGGATGTTGTACGAGCCACTCGCAGGTTCCCTCCGTTCTCATTTCTTTCTTTGCAACATGGATGTAGTCGACTTTCACATTGCTAATGTGATCCATGGCATGCTCTCTCTCCTGCCTCTTCATTTCCTGGAAGTTGTTCAGAAGTTGCGTAACTCTATCATCGATGCGCCTCAGGGGACTATGTAGACTTTGCAATAACTGAAGATTCCTCTCTGTTGCCTCACAAACGCAAGCCTCTGCGCATCTTGAGACGTCATTCTCCGCATCCGTAAGATCTGACAAGAATGGTTCCGCACGACTCGAGTCGGTGAGAGCCGCGAGGAACTGCGTTGCCCAGGATACTTGTCCGTCGAGCCGATTCGACGTCGATGCTAGTGAATCCAGCGAGCGTCTATAGAGCTCAATGAGAGAGTCTCTCAGGAGAATCTTCGAGGGTTCTGTCAAATTCGCGCTAGCAAGGCCGTACACAGATTCGTATATCTGACCCCGTCTGACAATACCGAGAATACGGTCGGCGGCACCAAAAATAGCGGTAAGTTGTTCGACTCGGCTTGTCTCGGCCTTTGCTAGTCAGCAAAACTCGATAATCATTTAATCTGTATGGATAATATCACCTTCAGGAGCACTCTGAGGGCCGACCATACCGGTGAAACCGGCGCAGGGGCGAATGCTATGGCAACGTCTCCGATCATGGTCACCCAAGCGACGACTCGATTCGCGTAATCTCTCCACAAGATGTTCCGTTCCCCAATTTTCAGTCCTGAACTGGCATCCTGGTATATTTCTTCGCTTTGCCTGACCAGTGTCGTCAATTCTTGGACTTGGATGGTACTCGAGCGGTCGATGCCGAACTTTCCCATCCAAGACTTGGTGTCTTGATGAGTCTTGTTGAGCGCCTCATGCCATAGGTCGACTGGCGCGCTTTCTGTAACGATGATAGGTTGATACTTGACGAGCTGAGCGTCTGAGGAGGGCGCCTCAACATGTGCTTCGGTAGACTCTCGACTGTGTTTGCTGTCGGCGTCTGTGTTTCCGGTTCCCGCGTGTTTGGATGAGATGGACTCGGCCTTGTCGTTCGAAACGGAATCACCGGCAGACTTGGTCGGCGACTGTGGTTTTGGTTCATATGGAACGGCTGGCTTTGGCGTCGGTCCTGGTGAGGCGGAAGGCTTCTTCTTCGATCCGAGATTGAAACAAGAGATCAAGGCAGAAACGCAGCTGGACTTTGTGCCCTCGGAGGACTTGGTTTCTGCCATCATGGGTGTATGAAACACTGCTGTTCAGACACCCCAACTGGCCCACTAGTGACTCGGGATCGAAAGGTCTGCCCAGAGTTGTGATGAGCTCTGTGTCGATTGGCGCATCTAGTATTTGAAACTTTGGCGGAAGTAACCCAAAATATAGGTTACGATAGTGATCGTGGTTTCATAGTATACCACAAGTATTGAAGAATTGAGGCGAAAGATAGGCGTGACATGAGAAGAGTCCGAGGTATGTGATAGCCCGGGGATTCGCCAAAAGCCTGGGAAGACTGCGGTTAGAAAAGGGGTCATGAGGCATCCATACATGCAGGTCGCAGCGCTTAGCTGCATCATAACATGAGTCTTCCATCCAATAGTTGTACGTGAAGCCATCGAACATCATGCTTCCCGCCGATAATCACACTCTCTGATGGCGCATCGCGAGTAACTACACGCGGCTATCAATTGCCTCATTAGAGTTGCATCATGGGCGAAAGTAGTTGCGTCTTCCGAAATATGACGAAGCCAAGAATATGGCACTTCTGAGTTTTGCACACCAACGAAGATGCAAAGGAGGGGTTGGTTGGACCAGGGTTCAGATCTGCAGCCTACTGATGCTGGGACTTACAGCTGTTGGTTGGGACAAGGTACACTGCAACCTGAGCTCTCATAACAAATGCCTCACGGATGAACGTCACAGCAGAATAAAGAGGCAGATGAGACACGATAAGTTGCGTCAAACCAGGTATTGAGTTGAAGCCGCAAAGCCTGATGAGCCTCACTGCACTGTACTAATGACCACAGAATACTAGGGAGATAGTCTTCCGTACTATACCACGATGACCGCTGCGTCTTCACGTAACACCTTGATGGATCGAGACTCGTCAACAACCCTCCTAAAGGCTAGTGACCATTGGGATACCATTCGTCTCTGTACTTCGAGCAGAACAGAAAGAAGCTAGTAAATTTATCATATGTATTGTATATACTCCATAGTAGGCTATCACGGCATTGTTGCATGCTGTCTCCTTCACACCTAAGGCTTTAAGCATGGTGTCCGCATCCAGGCGAAGTCCGCAACGAAAGACACGTCCGACAACCTGTATGTGTAATGAATTGATATCTGCGGGAAGGAGTATCTTACATTCTCTTCCTAAGAGTCACAAGCCTCGACGCCATTCATCAGACTAGCAAATGGAGCCACAACGTCTTCAAAGCTTGACACTGTTCTACCACGGACGTTCCTTACCGACCACATATAAAACTCTAGTTACTCGACCTTTCTCCGATACTCCAGACGTAAATATAAGTCAAGCCAAGTTTTCTGAACCCATCCCAGATTCCTATTCATTTGATCTCACTTTAAACCAATCCCAAATTACAAAACGAAAAAGAAATACCAAACGCAGGGAAAATCTCACCACCCATAACTCACAACATGGCATCCAAAATCAACCTCGCCATCCAGCGACTCGCTATGCCCCCATTCAAGGCTGCGATCACCCCAGCTACCAGACTCGGTAATCAGCAGTCATGTCTCCTCTCAACCACCGCAGCTCTGACCAAGAGACTTACCCCCTCCGAGTACCGCTGCTCCGTAAGGGGAGCCCTCGAGGAACGCAAGACGCTCATTGAACCAAAGCCAAGCGCCTTCACATGGCCTCGTCGGGCGAGCGGAAAAGAAACCGTCAGATCTGGGCTCCTTGATAATAATTTTCCCATGAGAAGAGTCAAGGCTCCCAAGTCAAGCGTCAACAAAGCCACCAGCACGGAGCCGATGCAGAGCGCAATCATCCCCGCATCTCCCATAAAGATGTCCATCCTCAAGAGCAAGATTTCCAGCGGCTATAACGGAACCCTCAAGATGGCAAAGAAATTAAACACCATCCCCGTAATGTGGAAAGTCGCCGGCCTGACGACCCTCGCCTCCCTCGGCACCTACGGCGCCATCGGGCAATACCAGGCCATGTTGGAGGCAGAGGCCAGAAAGAAGAGAATTGCGGAGGAAAACGAGGCTTGGAGAAGATATGAACAGGAACTGTGGGAGAAAGGAAATTCCATATCGCCTGCCTCGGGCGTGCTCAACGATGGATCGTATCCTTTCGCGTTGTTTTACCACTAGTAAGGCATGGGCGGGGTGGTTAAGTTGAGATATGGGGAAGTATGAGAGGAACGTCGCGCCAGAGAATACGGGCTCGTCCTCGGTAGTTCCGTCATTTCCATATTAGATATGAGAAAATTGAAGTTTTAAGTGCAAGCCATAAGTCTCGTGTGAGGTCAATGACTGTCGTCCATCCTGTTCAGGTCCTACAGTGTCAAGAGAATATCCGATGAGCTTAGCATTGAGTTTCGTTTCATGCCTGGGTCAAGTATGAGACCGACATTGTCAAAGTCAGAGCCAAAGATATCCGCTCTTCTACGATTCCAAGCAGTTATGTTGTAGGTAGGGCTCAACGTATGTCGGTAGCCCCATCTTCTCTCGAGACTCGGTCTCGCAGATGTTGTCTGGTTCATCTCTCTGATGTACCAAGCAAGTAAATACCAACACATAGGTGGTTTCCCGTTTACTAGACTGCTGTCTTCTTCACCTCACAGTCAAACCCGCCGGCCCTCTCCCCTGAGTAGGACCACAACATGGCGCAACTGCAAGCGGATACGTCGAATGATTATCTGAACTTGCTACTCACTGCATGATTCCCCTTCACTACTTACCCCAAGACCCCTCTCATTCACCCCTCACCCACCAAAAAGCACCCAGCCGTATCCTACTCCACCCATCGTCACCAACCACAACAAAACGACGATACCTTCACCCAAAAAGAATCCAAAAACATACAACACCAGGTATTCGCTGGTCGTCACCGACCCAACTACTAATCCGGCCCTCATTGGCTTATCTATGGGAGAGCGGACGGGATCCCGAGTTTTCCAATGGGTATGGTCGTATGTGGTAGTCAAGTGAAGGGTAGGGCCTCATATCGTGAGATTGTGGGGGATTCTTGCGTTTGGCGGGTGACCAAAACAATAACTAAAGCAAGACCGATTGTTAATTGCCTTGCGAAGGAATCTGGAAGAAACCCGAAATCTTGCTTTTCATAAAAAATTGGGAGGGAAGTGGTGGCTGGGGCAGAGATTGGGGAGCTGTTTGATATGGCCGCATGAGGGGTGTCGTGATGATGGTTTACGCTTCACGCCTTGGACGGACACAGCACCTGTAGGTATTTCGCTGCCCTCTACCTCTACCGAATCCTTTTAAATGAACTCACTAAAAGAGAAAGAATCCAAGAGAGACACGTGTGTGGGCCAGGGGCATCACAAACGCGCTTCAACCTCCATCGACGGCTCTGATAGTTCGCACCTCGGAGTGTTATCACGTTGCAGTCTTTGAGCCGCATTACCGAGGGCGGAACTTAAATCCCGGGTTCGCCAGCCACCACCGCAAGAACAGGAACATATTTACGAAGTATTCTAATGTTTTTTTCCGTATCAATTAGTCCCATTTCAAAGGCCGCTTCAAGACACCATTCAACCCGGGAGGTGGGGGGAGTAGTCGATGGCGGATCACGGCACTTCGGCAACATTGCTATAAGGTAGACGGGCCGCAATAGCCGCTATCTCATCACCAGTCACCTTATCATACGCCGGGAAGGTGGGCTGGAGCACTTCATCTGACTGCGTGACAAGGTTCTACTTCAACTACAATTCTTGCATGTGCGATTCCGAGAATACTGGCTTTCGAGGCGGTATTTGAGATACAGACATGGTGCGGGCATAGTACTATGGAACGTCTCCTTCGCTCACCGCAACAGATACACGAGACCCATTTCTCAACCGTGCTTCATAGTTTGAGGTTATGGTAGTAGGTTGCAAGACTTCGGATTAAGTAGATCAGTCCATCCAAGCTTGGAGATCCTGGTTCCTCTTCGGTGTTCTGCAACCCGCCGACGCCGGCTCAAATCCAGAGCCGCCATCTTCTCGTGAAGATTCAATGTGATTGTGATTATCCTGGCCATTTACTTGCCGCACTCAAAGTTCACAGAGATGAAAGGGCACAGATAGGTTGATTGTTTATGAGTTTTTCTTGTTTTTTAATTCATGCCGTTAACCAGCGCCGCGCTCAATACTAGTAAGAAGATGGTATCGCAATGTCTAGTAATCACATTAAAGTAGTCCGTAAGTCCTGAGACTCGTTGGTGTTGTTGTTTTCGTTTTTCTTTTTTCGTTTCCCTTCCTGGGTTAAACCGTTTGCATAGAATCATGGTCTCGGTTCTTCGGCATCCTGCTCCTCCTCGTCATGGTAAGGCATCGAATCACATCGGAACGATGTTGTTTTGCACGCCTTCTCGTCCACCTCTAGCCGGATCACTCCTTGCGGGTCATAGTGCTGGCGTACTCTGCGTTCTCTGTTAGTCGATTGCACTTTGATAGCTACTTGACGCATGTGAACTCACCCTTGGAAGGTAGTACCGACAAACTCCAGCACCAAAAGGACGAGAACGAGGGCAATGACGGCGCCGAGAACAATCAGATCGGGGTGCTGCTCAAAGATCCTCATTGTCGGCCGGGTGATTTGCTTCCAGGACGGCAGGCGACCAGAAGGCAGCAACTCCGCCAGGCCATCCTTGAGCGACATTGGCGTAATCGTCTCGGGGGTTCCGTCACCCACAACGTCCACCACTCTGTCCTTGCCGTGAGGTGCTGGGTGCCTTGACAGGGATTGGAGGTAGCTGGTTTTCAGAGGCCGCGGTGCGGCGAGAACGATTGACGGGGGCATGTCCTCGGATGGTGTTACTGGCTCGTTGTTGAACTCGGTTTCGATGTCATAGACGTCGGAGATGGGCCGTGTGCGGTGCATAGACACGCGTGTTACCCTCGTCAGACGACGTGCCTCGGTCTTGACGTGTGAGACCATATCTGAAATGGTTGATGGGACGGGAGCAGCCAGGCCGAACTGGGTGAAGCCCAGGGCGAAGAGTAGTGATGAAGGCTTCATTTTCTTTTGGTGATTAGGGTTGGTAATTGGTGATTGTGGTGTATACAAAAGTTGGTGTTTTGATGCGCGAAGAGATTCCGTCTTTGTCGTCGTGTCTTATCTCAATCCTGTTTGTCGAGGGTTTAGATGATGTTCAGGTATGCTCGACTGGTAAGTCTGTTTCCCACGATGTCCGTCGATGTCGAAGTAATTCCAGCCACAAAGAAAGCCTCCTGGTTCCTTTTCTTTGCCTTTCCTCCAACGAAGCAGGTCGTCTGAGTTGATGCGACTAGCCTGTTGACTTGTGCTGGATGTGTGCTCCAAGTACTACTGCGTCTGTAGCGATTCCACCAATATTCTCAAGCCAAGGCGGTGTTCGGCAATTTACGATGATTGTAAATGACCAGTAGGGGAGGTGGCAGTTCAAGGTGGAGGGCAGTGGTGTTGTATTCAGATGCTTGAATGGGTGCGGGGTGTGCCGAGACGTGAAGGGATATATGTCCAGGTCTGGGCAAGCCAATTTATTAGAGGAAAAGAGATCCGGTGACAGCGGCAGGGCAACCAGAGACAAGTCGAGGCGCGAAACCGAGCGCAGAAAAGTCAGCGTAATGGAGGGCGGGAAAGCTCGCAGGCGAGTGAAACAAAACAAGTAACGGGCTCTGGTGTGTTCCCAAGTTGTGAGGAATGAAGAAGATGGGACGGGGCGACTAATGGAAGATGTGAGACCCGGGGGCAGCGAGGAGGACCGGAAGGATAGACGGCTGAGAGCAGAACGGAAGAGGTAGGTGTTCGTGGGATTTGACGTGCCAAGGCGAGCGAGGTCTGAAAGTAATATAGGAAGAATAAGAGACAGCCTCGACTCGTCCGGAGTGAGGAGAGATGGGGTCTGATCAGAAATGGGACTGGGTATCCGTGAGTAGCTGCAAGTATGTTTGTGCAGGAGACAAGAGGCATGGGGCGGGTGAGGTGGTAATGTTATTATGTATGATCCAGAGCAGAGAGACAGAGAGAAAGGAGAGCAAACCCAACCTTTTACGCATTGGGATTAACATGACATTAGCCTCACCCAAGACGGCGGCGTTTCTGTTCGCACCTTTTGGCCCTCGCTCCGTCTTCTCTCGAGAGAGACCTAGCCAGCCCACTGCAGCCAGCCATCAAGGGCCCAGGGCCATGCTCGTCCTCCTTGTCTAAGTCTCTCTCAGATCCCCTCTGGTCTGTTCTCTGCTTTCCCTCACAAAAAGCGGGTGCTGGGGGACCGGCCGCTGTCCCCCCTCTGCCTTCGGGCGGCAGGCCAGGACCAGGATCTAGGCTCAGCCAGGGATGCAGGGATGGTCTGGACCCTGTGGGCTGCGGTGCACCCTGTTTAATGCAGCAAGCGGGTGTCTCGATTCAAACATGGTCGGCCGCAAGCTTCTTTTCTCTCCTGGACCTCGCCAGGGCCTGTCCTGTCCATTCGTACCTCAGCATAGCAGCATGCCTACTGTGGTGACTCTGGTGAGGAGGTGCGCCCAGGATCGTTTGTCTTTAAGCTCCGGCCCCCAGTGTGAAGAAGCAAGGGCGACTGGCGAGTGATTTGCTGCTGCGCTCTCTCCGAAATGGACAGATGGGATGGGATAGGCACGCACGGAACGGCAACGGCAGCGGCACACTCGAATGATGACTGACTCTGGAGGCCTGTAACAAGAACGAGGAGAGAGCCTGCCGAGTAGCCGATCTCGAGCGCTGTGTTCTGGCGATCTTCGTTTCTTTGCATAGAGTTGATAGGCCCGCGGGCCTTGCGGCTCTGGTTCTTGTCTGCATTCTTTTCGGTACCCGGTTTGCTCGGCCCCCTCCATCATCCATCATCGGTGAAAAATGAAAAAGTGAGATGCGACATGGAGGGCCACCTCAAAGCACGACTCCATAATCATGAGCAGCTCGGTTTCCAAATCTTTTCTCCTGTATCCCGATTTAGGATCGAACGACGAGGAGCCAAAGGTGGACGCGGGGGTGAGCTGGATCGTCTGCACTACCACCTCGCCCAAACCCAAAAGGCGCGTTAGTTGGCGGGTTACTGCGTAGCAGGCAGGCAGGTTTGGTGAGGTCCCCTGGATTTTCCCTTCCGCTGCGGATTGCCCATGCCTTTCGGGGGTTCTGCAGACCATAGGGCACCAACCCACACGATTGTTGCCAGGGATGGTCAGTGTTTGCACGGGCAGCTCAAGGGGCCGCGGGATTCGAGGGACGCGAGAATATGGAGAAGGAGACATACTACGCAGACAGACTTGAATGCGAGAATGAGACTGCCCAACAACCTGGCAGAATCCCAGAGACTCCAGACTCCAGAGTGCAAATACCTGAAGAGGAGGTAACCCTTGCCAGTAGATCTCATGTGTCACGGCCGAAGGCCGGACGGGGGGTTCCATGCGTAGATTTGCTTGTCGACCGAGGTTGAGAAGAGACGAAGGACATGAAAGACATGAAAGACAAAAAAGGCGCCTCCCTATGGAGTCTGTATGGATTCCAATTGGCATGTCAGGGGAAAGACTCGACGGTTGCCGTCACAGGCTGCGGGAGCGAAGCCAGGTTGTTAAGTCAAGCTTCCACTCCGTTGTCTCGTCTAATTTTGCCAATGGTCGAGAGAGGAGGGGGGACAGGCAGGAGAAGTGCAGGAAAGTAACATCGAGAGCGAACGAACAAAGCAAGCTATTGAAGCTGAGAATGCAAGCCCGCATCTGCTCTGCGCCTGCGTCTGGTCAGCCCAACATCTGTACGGAATACTTGGTGTAAGCGATGCCCCCATCTCGACGGCACATTGGCCGATTGTGTGCTGTGATTCGTGGGTGCGCTTTCCCAGCTGTGCTTCCCCCAATGATTCCCACCTTCCCTGCAATAGTTGCTATTGAGGCTGCAGCTTCTCTCGCAAGCACGACAGCTTAAGGTACCTTAATTACCTACTCAATGGCAGGACCAACGGTTACCTTCCGTACTTGCCCACCTCAGTTTACCTCAGGTATTTTGCGAGATAGGTAGGTACCGCTAAATGCACACTTTGTAGTTTGTACCTTGGTCTGTCCGAATATTCGTACCGGAGGAAGTGACCTGGACTTCTCTTTCCCACTTCTCACATCTCACGGCGCCACAGGAAGAAAAGGAAGAGAATCAAGCTTTCCTCGAGTGATCCCTCGCAGCTTGGCCAACCCCCCCAGTGCCCCCGTCTGGATCCTCTGTGCCCCTCAGCTCTCATTTCCCACCTTCTGCCCGTCCACAATTGCCAACGGGAGCACGTGGGCAAAGTTAACCCTGTGCGAGTCTTGACTCTTGACTTTCTGAAGAGATGGCAGCGATCAAAGCCCACCAGGAGCCTTGCCTTTCTTGGCGATTCCAAGACGTACGAGAGAGCGAATCACATAATACCACCCCCCCCTCCCGTCTCAACCGGACTTCCCACAGTGTCCTCTCTCCAGCTCCCTGACTATTAAGTCTTTGCACCCAAAATATCGTCGCCTCCAGCCGCAGCCCACCGGCACCCATCCCATTGAATCTCGCGGAGAGAAAAGAAACGACCAGGAAAAGCGAAGAGAAATGAAAAAAGACGAGCACACAAATCATCCCCCTTGCTCTGCCGCAGCTGAAGGAGATACCCGTCACCTATCGAGACCACAGAGATGAAGAAGACGGAACCCAGTCGACAATCGTCTTCCAAGCCACAATAATGGACACTGACTATTCGGCTTATTTTTCCTCCATGATCCCCAGGTAATAGACTAATAGTCCATGTTCACGGCACGCTTTCCCACGGAAATGGGTCCATGGAATTGCGCACGGCACGCGGGATTCCGCCTCTCCTCTACGGATAAAGCTATGGACTATAGCGCGCTTTACACCTGCCTGTCCGTGGTCACCGTCCTTGTCGATGGCCTACTCAGCGAATCAGTTATCGTCTTCGATCGTATGCCGATGGCCCCTGTCGATTTGGCGTGTCTAGGATGCTTAGTCAAGCCTCCGTCCAGCCAGCCAGTTCTCACGATGCTTGGCGCTTCCGTGGCTGCAGTCCTCGTACAGACGAAATTGCACCCAGCTGCGCCCTATACCACGGATATGCACACAGCATGCTGCACAAGGCGGCCATCCAACCAGCGCCAAGACACTGCCTCTTCCCCCGAAAAAAAAAAAAAGAAGAAGAAGAAGAGAGCATGTCAGCAACACTTCAATCGTCAGCAATGATCTTCTCAATTCATGCAATCATCGAGTTGCTCTGGGGCTGGGACGGCAAAAGTTCCAAATCAACTTAGACTCTACCAACGCCAGAGACACCATCATGACAACACCAGCCAACGCCTAATGCGACGGTTTCTCTGTCCAATGCCAGGTGGGAATTGGCGCCAAAGCCAAATCGCAGCTGGCGAACCCAAGCAATGGATCTACGCCAAGGATCCACTGATTAGCGCTCCGGTTCCATTGCTTGGACTTCTTTTTTTGAAATCACCACACCACAGGCGCGGCAGATGCCGACATAGCTTCTGCCAGCCGCTATCAAATAGTGTGCACATTCGCCATTTTGGTTGCAATGTAGTGACTGAAGACACCGCGGAGCTGTCTCTCTTCTTTGGGACCATCGCCGGCTCGTCGCCAGGGTCACAATCACAGGGTGACCGCAACCAAACGGAGCAAGCATTGACGGAGGAGAAACATGAAATCCCCGTCCTGGGAAGTTGGAGCCTGCCTCCTAGGGAGTTTTGCGACAGTTTGGACTGTTTCGTTCCATTGCAACCGAGGCCCACATCGGCAGCAACTGCGAAACCCGCTTCTTCTTGCCCTCCATGGTGAGGTTGTCTGAACGTCAAAACGGTTTCAACAGATGCTCTCAGACCAGCCCACCGTCCATGGGCACGCAAAAGCACGGGATGCCATGGGAATGAGACTTTGATGGACCCCGAACCCGCATACCTCTTGCTTTGCCAAGCCCGTCCGGCAAGACTTGCAACAGGAGAGCAACGTTTCTAACCAAGGAGGTCGAGCCGAATTGTCGCAGATGGCCCGCTCGTTGATGTCATGTTGCTCTCTTCTCGTGCCTAGGTTTGGAGGAAAAGGGGAAATGGATCGTCGATGCCAGCCCCGACTCACTCAGAATCGTCCCATCGAGCTGATGGTGAGGCTATTCGCACTAGTACCGCCGAAACGTCAGTAGGTAACTCGAGCCCCTTGGGCCAGAGTCAGATCTGAGCTGGTCTGACTGCCCAAAGACACTCCCGGCAGCACCCACTGCCTGGCCACCTATCAGTAGTATCGCCCAGCAAAGGGCAGCGTGGGCGCTCTTCCGGTCGGCCCGCTAAAGTTCCAAAATAAGCAGTCCCTTCCAGGCGAACTATCAGTCTTCACAGCGCCCACAGGGCATGCCTGCCATCGCTGCAGCCTGCCACACTTCCGGCCTGGTCCCTGTAGGGCGCGCCGAAGAGTCTGGACCACAGGGCCTTGACCATGCCAACGCGGAGGGGCGCATGGCACGGGAAGGGGCCCAGAAGTCTGGTAAGAGCACCAAAAGAGGGACAGACGATGGACAGTGTGACAGCCTACCTGTATCCGTATGGATCTAGGAATCGCCGACGAGCACACGACCACTAAACCACCAAAGCGATGCAGGATCATGTCGCCATTGACCGGCTATGGGGTGAAGGAAATATCCATTCAGCCCTCAGGAACGCAGCATGAGGGTCGATTCCAGTGGGACAGCCAATCAGCCACGGGATAAGCAACGAACAAGCTTTGTGCCGATGCGGGCCTCCCTGCAAAGAAATTCGGGGCCATCTAGGCAGACAGAAATGAGACTGCCCGGCTTCAAAATGCTTCTGGAATTGCTCTTCGTATTCCCCCGGGCACAAGGGTTTGGCGGGGAACGGTGTTGCCGGTGGTATCCTTTGAGCAAAGGCAGGCGGTGCAGGACATGGCGAGGTGGGACTCCGCAAAGAGGCCCCGTTTCTCTCGGAAATCGGGCACCTGTCGAGCGAATGCTAGTGCACCGCTAGCCTCGTGGTCAGGTCACTACAGTATAGTAGGTGTGCTGTCGTTGGACTGGTGTTGGACCGTGGTGGTGGTGTTCAGAATCCGGGGCTTGGGATGCCGCGGGTCGCGATTCTGAACGCATTCGGATGCATTGTTGACAGTGGTGCCTGGTGTCTTTGCATCGCCACGGAAAGTTAGGAACGACGACAGTTCCCTTTCTTGGGGTTCCATGGGTCATGGACGCGCAAGCTACCGTGGTATTTGGGTTTCCAGGAGGATGGGAAAGTCTCCGAGAGCTGGGTTGTCGTGTGTCGAGAAGGGGGCCGCGGATCGTTAGTGGTTCATGACGGGAGCTGCGTGTCCACGACAGCGTCATGAAGAAGACGGTTAACTTGGTTTTAGCTTCTGGGTAAGGCGAACGCGGACGCGGACGCGGATGTAGACGCAATCCGTGGCAGGGTTGTACATAGTAGGCATGCATCTATTCCTTCCCATGATCCGTCTACGATCTGTCCGCGTATCCATGAAGCTTAGACTACTGCAGACGATACTTTGGACAACAACCTTTACCTTTGCAAGTTCGGCGATGGTTCCGAGACTCTACTAGGTACGTACGGAGTACGGAACGACAGACAGTATACTCGGACAAAAGAAGAATTAAGCTTGAAGTAGCAACTGTGGTTGGACGGACGGGATATTTCCCAGATATACTACCCTCCATTTTGAAATCATCTTGAGGCAATACCTAGCAATGCGCAGTAGATGCAGCATTCAGAATCCAGCTGCAGCAGTAGACACACCTTTCCCTTGATGGACTGCGGAAGACGCTTCTTTCGGCCACCGATCAGTCTAACTATCCTTCGTATACATTTTTTTTTCTTTAGAGTTACCGAATCCAGCGACTTGGTCCGGGCGACGCACCCTTGACGAAATCGACTGACTCGGCGTCCCTTCCCCACCAATGTCCTTTCCCCGTCCGTGCACGCACCCTTTTTTTTGTGTCGTTCTTGACTCCTTCCTAGAGTGCCCTCCCTGGCGTGGCCTGGCCCCCCTTGGCACTTTCTTTCACTTCCTCTGCCACTGCCACTGCCTTCCTGGCGCGCATTCTCCGTGGCTCCAATCAACTTGGTCTGCAGCCTTGCGCCGACTTCAGTCCATTCGCGATCGCGAGGCTGAGAAAGGTCTGGGTCAAACGCCTCAAACAACTATCACCAACACGCCCCATTGAGTCCTGGTACTCTTGTCGTTCCTTTACACTGAGGCCCTCAAGGGCAAGCCGCGCCTCATGTCCCCGACAACACCAACGGACTTTGGCTCCTTCCCCCCGCCCCTCACCCGCTCCTCCACCCTCCCGACGGCCCTCAGCACCGGCACCACAAACCTCAGCACGAACAACAGCACCACAAACTTCCACCAGCAGCGCCAGGACAGATCCCGCCTCGCTCCCGAAGATGCCTTCCTAGCGACATCCCCGCCACGCCGACCCGTGCCCTCCTTCCCCGATGTGTCCACCCTTGGCGCAGACCACCGCGCCGCCCGCGCACGCCTCCGTCACAACGCCGCCTCTGCAGTCGCTGGAAGCCACCGCTCCCGCTCTCGCCGGAGTCGCAAGCGGACCTGGAAGAAGCTCATGTGGGTGAAGCAGAGCTACCCGGACAACTACACGGACCAAAACACCTTTCTCGAGAGCCTCCAGCGCAACCCGCGCCTGCAGCCCTACGACTTTTGGCCCCTTGTCGCCGACTCGACGGTGATTGTCCAGCATGTCTGCTCCGTCATCCTCTTCATCGTCTGCTTCGTCCTCATATCCCAGGAACGCGTGTCACCCGTGTCCATTGTGTCGTTCAGCAGCATGGCGACGTTCTTGGGGTGGCTGCTGTGGGAGCGCTGGGAGGCCGACGAGGAGCGGAAAGAACTGGGTCTGGCGGGCGGCGGCAGCAGCAGTGCCACGGCCGCGGGGCGGAGATTGGAGCCGAGTCGAAGGACGGGAAGTATGAGGCAGCGGAGCCCGCCGCTGCATGACGATGGTAGTGCCGCCGCGGCTTCGTCCACGGCTACGACGGCCACGAGCTCCGCGACGAATTTGTCGAGTACCGCTGGCGCAGAGCGGCCTCGTCTGGCGCGGCATTCGCATTCCGCCTCCGCGAGCTCCCTTATTTCTTCCACGTCGGCGACCTCGCAGTCCGTCTACCGCCGCTACAGCCAAGAAGTTAACAGCAGCATGCCTCTCCCGCGGCGATCCTCTTTCCCTCTGCCAGGCGACGACAACAGCCGCCTCAACCAGCGTCTCAGCACCGTCAAGAGCGCTATCCTCATCTACTCCACTCTTCTCGGCCTCTCCCCCATCCTCAAATCTCTCACAAAATCGACTTCAAGCGACAGCATTTGGGCCATGTCCTTTTGGCTCCTGACCATCAACATCTTCTTCTTCGACTACTCGGGCGGCGTCCGCGTCAACATCCCCGCCTCGCTGTCCACCAACGCGGCGCTCATGGCCTCGACGGTGCTCGCTTCGCGGCTGCCGTCCACGGGTCAGGTCTTCAGCCTCACGCTTTTCAGCATCGAGGTCTTTGGGCTGTTCCCCGTATTTCGGCGGTACGCGAGGCACCGGAGCTGGGGGTACCACTACGCCATGACGGTGTTCCTCGTGCTTGGCGCGGGTGCCGGTGTCGGGGTTATCGTGGGTGACAATGGCAGTGGTGTTGCAGCCGGTAGTTGTGCCGGTATGGGGATATCCTGCTGGCCTTGGAAGGGCGCCGTCGCGGGCATGGTCGTCAGCGTGCTCATCTCCGCGATTGCGATGGGCGGGTGTAGTTGGTGGCTGATTGGGTTGCAAAAGTACAAGAATGAGATTTATGGGCCGTGGGATCCGGCGAGGCCTATTATTATGAGTCGACGGCTTTGGGATGACGGGTAAGGTAGTAGGCATTTATGAGTACGTAGTGTAAAGTAATTTGATGAGAGATGTTTTGGAAAAAGTTGAATCATGATATTGCGGAGAAGTGATGTTAAGACTGGCTAATGAGTGTGTGCTACTGGAATTCTACGGCTTCGCGAGATATTGCAGCTCTTGGACCTCCTCGTCGCCACCCTTTGACTTTACTTCTGCGGCGTTGCGAGGTAGGCTACTATCCGACGCCGTCACTTTTTCCAACTCCCGAGTCTCTGGGCTTTCACTCGACATTTTGGCGATACATGCTGCGCATAAACCCCAGAAAAGGAGATAGAAGAAGACCCCGCACATCGCCAAGTCAGTGTCGGAGAGATATGCCTCGATGCTGTCCCCGGTGCTGCTCCCGGCGCTGCTCCTGTTGCTGCCCCTGGTGCTTTCTCCGGCGCCGTCGTATTCGCAATCATCAGTGAACATGGTCTCGCCGGCCGCAGACCTTCTCTCCAGTTCGGAGAGAATCTTGCTCCTCCTGACCATACGCTCCGTGATGACGTTCAGGGCATTCACGTGAGACAAGAGCCGATGATGCTCTCGGTAGACGTGACTCGCTCTGTCTATCAAATCCTCCCGGAGAATGCCAAGGGCATCTAACTGAGATTCAAACCGTTGCGACCGTCGGGAGAGCTCCTTCCTATCTTCCTCGTCTTTGAACTTTTTGGCGTCGAGAGACGACGTTATTGATGATGAGGAGGATGCTCTCCGCTGTGACGGTGTAGGTTGGAATGCTGATGGGAAGCTCGAGGATGCGGCTGTCATTGGTATGATTTTCGGCCACGGACATTGATGCGAGAGGGAGAAAAGTGGTTTCGGTCGCGATGTGCGCGGGGGACCGTCGCGAAGGCTGTAGCGGATGTACCTGTCGATGTCTGGGTGTACGACTTTGGCGTGGAGGGTAGATGTGTTTGAGAAGAGGCGGGTTTGTGGCGGTGCTGTGGTTGTGGTTGTGAAGGGTGATGGTCTTGTGATTATTCTGGGGAGGTGCCTCCGGAGAGTGTGGAGGAGGCTTTTGGAAGCCATTATTCTCATCGGTATGAGATTGTGATTCTTGTTTTTGCCTTGTTCGAGTTGTGGTTGAAGTCGTCGAGGATGATGTCTGATATGTTACTTGCGCGGAAAACATTTGTGGTCATGAGGGATGGTAAAGTGTGTGACGGAGAGGGCATGAGCCTGAGGCTGTGGAGATGGTCGTTAAGGTTTTTGGTATACCTTGATATCACGAGAGTAATACCTTTGATATGACTCAAATTTGTCGCCATGTATGTTCCTTCCATATCAAGTGTTGCAATTTTGTATCACAAATTATACGGCAGAATCTTGTTTTGCGTCTGGCTCGGTGTGAATGAGTATGGCTTCGGAGCTCCTGTGAACTTTGGCAATGTTATCTGAGGTTTTGACCCATCTGTAGATGGCATAGCAATGAAATAGAAGCCGAGAACCTGTCCAGCCCAGCCAAAGATATGTAGGTGAATGGAAAGGATGCGGGAGTGGAAAGGGGACTCGACGACAACCTATCTCCGAAACATCTTGTTTGGTGGTTTAGAAAGGGGAACATCCGCCTTGTAATGGATTTGCGGTTTATATCGCGTGTGTTACGGTACTAAAGATATCAATCCCAAGCTTCACAGGCACCTTTGAACGTCAATGCCTTTAAAGGCCAACACCATCAATGATCAATACCATGTTCAACACTATCCTAAAAGCAACACCACGGCTTCACAGCCACTTGGCTACGAGCAGAATGATCTTCCCTGAACTCCAGACTCAGTCCAGAACCGCAAGAACTATAGAACTACATGAACGGTGCCCCATCAACACCACTCAGACACTATCAACCCCTTTCTCATCAGCACAAGAGATCCTCGAGGCCTCCATCAACTGCAACCAAAGCAGATTCGGCAGTCTTCACCAAGATAACCCATTCCAAGGCTTCATAAGGGGTTCAAGCAGAAACAAGGCGGTTTACAGGTATGAGGCGCCGAGACGGAAAGCCGGACAACAAGCAACATCTTCAACCACCTCCAGTTCATATCTATCATGCTTTGGGAACTTTGGAGGTCTATTCACGCATGTCGTTGAGGCTCTGGGTAACCCGAGAGAATATGCAATCAACCGATGGACAGATCGAGAGGAGGAGATTGAAAGGCTGCCGGAAAATCAGGGCGAGATTATCAAACGTCTTCAGGCCGTGGAAAGGCGTCAGGAACTTCACTCGTATATGGCATACTGCATTGTGAGTGGCTTTGTGCTCGCGACTGCTCTTTTGATTCTCGTGGCGTTTGCTGCCAGGGAGATCAGAGATAAGGGAAGGAAGGTAGATAGCGATGGTAGGCCTTAGTCAAGGGCGGAGAAGCTTTCTCCCAAGCATTGAGATGACCATGTGACCAAATCATTCATACAAATGCATGGCTTGATTTTTCGTCGCGCAAACTGATGGCAGAAGGGGTCACGGATTGAGCATGCAGCAACACTGGCATGTAGAATAGATACCCCCCAGTATCATCAGGGGGCGATCAATTGCCGTATCTCTCAATGGCGAGGCATTGCAAAGATTCTAATAACAAGTAGAGAAACATGTGTCTAGAGGTTTAGTGCTTACACCAATGTTACATTGTACGCTGAACCACGTACATGCACCTTCCAACATGCAGGTCATGTGGCTGTGTGACATCCACGCCTGCTTGAAGTAGACATATGCAGCCTGATTTTCCAACTCTCAGTCGTTCCTTCGCTTCACTGCTTAGCTTGACTGGCTCTTACACTTCATCAATCTAAAGCATACACCAGTCGATCAAAACTCTTTTTCTCTTTTGCACCATCTTGGAATCATGACTGAATCACTGGCGGACTACCAGTACCAGGCTCTTTCAACGATCGACTCCATACGCCTTCTAAGCGTCTCACAAGACAACAATCATCCCCATGGACTCTGCTTGTCTCTCAAGGAGGTCAACTTGGATGATGAACCGATCTTTGCCGCGCTATCCTATACCTGGCAATTACCCAAGTATAGCAACTCCGAGCAGACACAAGAGCCAGGGCCGGGAAAGACGTTTGATGTTGTCTGCGACGGCAGGTCGATGGAGATATCTGAGAACTTGTTCGACTTCCTCCGCACCATCCTCGATTATCGGTGTCTATCGGGAACCAAGGCAGACAGAGCTTCCTCCACGACTCGCAAGTGTCTGTCCAAAGTTAGAGCTGCTCTGGAAACCATGCCACTGTGGATAGACGCATTCTGCATCAATCAGGCCAACAGCGAGGAAAAGAAGCACCAAGTTCTTCTCATGCACCGCATTTACAGCTCGGCACAGAACGTGCTGGTGTGGCTGGGCCTATCAGAACCTGGCTCCGAGGTTCAGTGGATCCACGACAGATTCATTCCTCGTCTATCTCAGGCACGAAAGAAGTCGGAAACCATGAAGAAGCTGTTGCAGGAGGACCATTACTGCAGGAAGCCTGAAGTTCTCGACCAGTTGGGATATGACACATGTTCCCGGTGGGCCACGTCGTGGTTCATATTTGCAAAGTTCCTTAGAGACAACCGCTGGTTCGATCGCGGTTGGGTCGTCCAAGAGGTTGCTTTGGCAGATCCAGCTCAAATTCACATCATGTGCGGAACAGCCGTCTTGAACTGGAAGCGCCTCGGGGCATTTATACAATTTCTCCACGAGGCTCGATGGAGCCACTCCTTGGAAACCCATATCGAACGATCTTTCGAACATGTGAAACTCATCTCCGAGATCCAATGCTTCAAAAAGCCGCGGGGTCTAAGCAGTAGGCATCTTGGCATCGGAGGTGGCCTGCACAAGATCAACGGAGTCCGACCCCTCTTAGCCGAGCTTGTGTACTACACGAAAATCGAAGGCTGGAACACGAAGTCGGAGTCCGCATGGCTTGCATGCGCCAGCTTCATTATATCCACTCTCCGCTCTTTCCAGTTTGGTGACGATCGCGACCATATCCACGGGTGTCTGGGTATGCTGTCGATGCTTCTCCCCCAAGGTTTTCCTAGCCCCATTATTCCTGACTACGACCGGAGTGTGGAGGATGTCTTCACATCTGTTGCAGCGTGTTTTCTCCAACGACTTCCCTTACTCTCGGAACTCAGACAGGTCGGGAAGGAGAAATCACGCCGGAACATCAAATTGCCATCCTGGGTACCCGACTATTCAGTACCAAATTTGACGAAAATAGATCGCCACAAGCGACTCGACGTGTCGACTAAGACTGAGGCGAGCCTCGATGTTTTAGAGGAGCACGAGAGAATGATATGGCGCTACCATCCAAGGAGGCCATCCGTCATTGGACACAAGCTTGTTTTGTATGGTGTGAGACTAGGCACTACGATGGGTAAAGTTCATGACCTCTTCACTCCAGAGTCTAGCTACGAGATGGCTTTGACGATGGTTAGCTTCTTTCGAGCCAGGCCATTCGAAGCCTTGTGCCGCCCTCAACTTAACATATGGAACAGGTTGGCAGCGGCAGTTCTCAACGAATGTTTGGAATTATACAACTTGCACTTGCAGCCCATGACCCCTGGTCACTGTCTCACACATCAAACGGTCGATTATTACGTTCCGGGACGACGAGAATTTGTCCACAAACGACTCAACGGGTCCGTGGTAGGAGCATTAATTCAGAACGAAATCTATGAGTGGGTTAAAATATTCGAGAGCAAGATTGGCGGCTCTCGTCCAAGTCCTTGCCCATTATATGTAGATACCAAGGTCTGGGAAGAGCTTGAGAACGAGTGCTTTTACCACACATCTATTTACCCCACATCTGGAGGGAGTTTTGGACTGGGTTCCCCCTCCTCAGTACCGAATGACCAGATCTGGCTGGTTGAAGGTGCTTCTGTTCCTTTTATTCTCCGGGAAGTCATACCTGTGCCAAAGACTGGTCAGGAGGATTCCCAACCTCGAGAATTTCGCTATGTTGGAGACATTGAGCTGTCTGAACTCGACATATATTCCAGTCACTTCACCTTTGAGCAGCAGCGATCGAGATACAAGAAAATCAACATTGTATGATAGATGGATAGAATATCCATACGTTCTTTGAGCGAAGAGGAAATAAGAACTTTGCAAACTAGATTCGTCCTGCAAACACTCACCCGCCACACCTAAGTAAAATAAAGAGCTATACAATACAAAACGACGATCTCCACTTGCTCGAGGAGAGATAGGCCAAAAGGAAATGCGTCGAGGGGGAATCGAACCCCCGGCTCCCCGACGCTGCTGGATGGCAACGGAGAATTTTACCACTAAACCATCGACGCAAGTTGAGGATGTTGGGCTGGAAATCATACTTACAGGATCAAACATCCATTTTATCTTAATCTTTGGGAGAGCAGCCCTTCGTCACTCGATCATGATGACATGCGACTGTAAAAATACGAAGGGGATATCACATCTTCGTCGGACTTGTAGCCAAGCGGGTTGCTTCAGCCTGAAGTCAGATCACACACACTCATGTTGCAAGTGCACCATACGATGAAAAAAAATCCTTCTCATTGTTGAAAGTCGTAAAGGCATAATGCATGGATCCTCCCGTGAAGCCAGAAAAGCTGACCGCAATGCCATATCTCAAGATTGCAACTCCAGGTCCTGAAACGTCCAAATCAGCCCCCGCTCTACAAAGTCAAAGACAGCAGGAGGGCTGTATCGTCTCTGCAGCATCCGCCTCAAAATCGGTCTAGGGAAAGTGTGTTTGCATTGGCTCTTGCCGTAGCTGTTCCTCCACGCGCCGTCGTCTGCCTTTTCTTCCAAAGCGCAGCATAGCTTCCCGCTTCCTCCAGTGTTTCCTCCTCTATTTGGGCACAGCGAATTTCGTGGTCCACTCTTTGGCCGTCGCGATGGCGGCCTGCTCGTCCTCCTTCCAGCTCTTCGCGACGTCGGCGGCGAGGGGGTCGTCGGGGTTGGGGGCGCCGAGGAGGGCCTGGATTGAGAGGAGAATAGTGCGGATCTGGAGGGCAGGGGACCAGTTGTCTAAACGAAGGTTTCTTTGTCAGCCGTCCTGCGTCAAACCTCCATTGTTGGTGTACTGCTACTCACTCTTCAGAACATCGAGACAGATGCGGCCCAGCTTGTCGACATTCGGGTGGAAGATCTTGGTAAGGAAGCGAATCTTGGGGGGAGTCATGGGGTAGTCGTCGGGAAGGAAGAGCTCGAGCTTGAAGACACCGCCTGTAACACCTCTTAGTTCTTTCCTATCCAGTCAACTTTCCGTAAATGTATTGCGCACCTTCATACGGAGATTGTGTAGGTCCGTGAATTTCGACATCGAAGTAGCGGAGGTTGTCCTCGTGAGGGACGGCACTGATTCCGGGTACCCTTTGAAGCGGTCTTTGTTAGCAAAACATCGAGATGTCGCTAGCTAGGCAGGAGACTTACGGCTCAGCCATGAGACGCTCCGTCTCCTTCACAATACGCTTAGGCAAAGCCATGCTGGGCGACAAATGCTCTGGAGATTGTTCGAGGGTGAGGGAGGAAAGGTATGGTGTCTGAGCTTCCTCTAGAAACCAAAGTTCAAGGCCAAGAAGCTGATGGCGGGGTTAAGCGAGTGGTGAATGAGATGGAGCTTCCTTGATTTCAACTCGCTGGGGAAGGAAGAAAGGTCGCAAACTAAATCGCAATCGGATGCTCGGGATATCGGTTTGGAGCGGCGGCGACGAAGGTGACGAGTAGGCGGAACTGGTGGAGTGTTTCGAAAGGCAACCTTTGGGTATGGTGGGCATGTGCTTGGGAAAGCCTTGCTTGGGATTGCCCCGCGGGAGGGACCAGAAGCATGACACACTCCAGGCCTGGCTCGACGCTGTCCCGATAACAGTAAAAGGGTGGAGACTGACGGTGGTATTAGCGAGCTATCATTGGCCGAGAGGTCCTGGCGGGGAGTAAGTACACAACTGCAGACTTGCTGCACGAAGGTACATCATTACAATTGTGGGTCCCCGACTGTCATCCCGTCCATCCACAAGCGTCCGCCCAGGATGCTCAGCGATGGATGCACCTGATCCCGTCGCGTGCATCAGCCTCTGAGCCTCAACTAAAGACCCTCGACATCAAGTTGCGATATTTCATCCAATCAGGACATCTCATCAGTCAAAGAGCAACTATCAGAGCAGTCTATACTGTGGAAGAACTCTCCCATTGTCGTGTGCTATCGGATCATGGCAAAGACATAGCGCCTACAGATGCCTTTCTGAGGCATCTCTCTCATCTGAGCCAAAACCGCCATCATGCCGCACTTCGACCAGCTTGATGCGCCGAAGAAGGGCAAGCCGATCAAGTCAGCCTTCGACAGCGAGAGCTTTGATGCGGACGGCACGATCCACGT